ATGTCAGGTCTATTTCTGACTTCTCTCTTATTCTAAGAAGGCATGGAATAAGATGTAGAGAAAGGAAGATCATTCCATGCACTACTTGGATAGTTACAAAAGCTATTTCTTTCTCATTTGTTTTTAGGCACACCTGGTGATGTTCAGGGGCTACTTCTGGCTCTGCACTCAGGAATCACTCTTAGCGGTGATCACAGTACCACAGAAGATGCTGGGGATTGAATCTGGGTCGGCCCCATTCGTGGCAAACACCCTACTTGTGGTATTATTGCTCCTGTTCCTAAAACCATCTCAACATTTTTGTGCTATAAATCAAGTACTTGCTGTGTACACTATTCATTTATTCATTATAACAATCCTATTAGGTAAGATAATTGTGCAAATTTTTCAGAAGGGTAAATTAAGGGTGAACTAAATCACTAAGTGAATAGAACTTTGACTTAATGTTGCCTTGAACTTTGGCTCCATGTTGCCTTGTAAAAAATCTATGCACGCAGAAGGTTGTGTGTTCGCAGGCTCTCTGGACGGCTCTGTCTCACCGCCTGCATTCAGTGCTCATGACCCTCTGCGTGTGGCCTGGATCAGGATGGCTTTTCTCTCTCTCAAGCTTGAGCCCCTCTCACTCTGGCTCTGGATCTCTGAAGCCCGAGCTCTTTCACTTCTGACTCTGCTCTCCAAGCTTACAGTCTTAGTTTATATAGCAATCATGTAAGTCTCACAAAGGTGGGTTGAATATTGACAAATCAACAATGAGAGGTAAGACCACTCCTCCAGGAGATTATCTCAAGGATAAAATCTCATCTAAAGAGATTACTCCAGATTACTAGGAGATCCACTCAAGGGTAGGATCCTAACAAGGGTGTGTTCTTTCCTCAGCTAGTAATCTACTTAAATAGTTGTAGTAAATCTACTTCTAATATTTCTAGCAATGTCATTCTGTGTGAGCACAGTAAGAGATATAAACATCTCATTATACATTCTTCAGTCCTCAGGCCAGGTTAGTCTTCCTAGCCCCAGCAGGGTCCTAGTTTCGTCATTACTTACTTTGGATCATGACAGCATTTGTCCATGATCATTCCCTCAACTTATAGTTGAGTATCGTGGCACTTTGGCCTGGACCATTTTGATGCCAGGGTAGCTCACAGCTTGCCCTGGGTCCATTCAGTCCCTCCTCGGGACCCTGCTTTTGGGGTGCTAGGAACTAAGGGCAACTGAGTCAAGAAAGCAGATGCCCAGGAGTAAATATTATTTGGAGTCAATCAACTCCCAAGTTACAAAGCATAATATTAACTGTCTTCCTGTGTCCATACAGAAATTGCTTTAAGGTAAACTATTCAAAAGACATAAGGAAAGGAGAAAGGCAATATTAACTTATAATACAAGTTCAGTGCCCTGGGATGGGTGTGATTCGATAAACCTAAGCTACCTGAGGAAGGACAAAACAGTATTATCCTACATTGCCTGACACACATAGATATGGTAATATAACCCCTTAAATGCCCAACTGTTGGAAATATGAGTGACAGTGACTTAAGTTCACTCAATTCAGATGAAATAGAAATCTAATTCATTATTTATGGAATTTTGCTTTAGAAATATAAAGTTCAATATGTTTATAAACATCACAGGAACACCTTCTTGCAAATATATATATATATATATATATATAATCAGTAAGTTATGGGCTCAAAGAAATCCTTCTGTATAAAAGCTGTTAAATTTTGCTCCATGAAATATTTCCCAAACGCTCAACCATAGAATCCCTTTACTTAACAATATCCCATGAAACTAATATTAAAATAGCAGTGGTTTCAGCTTTTGTACATTTTAGAGCTAGCACTTGTCTGAGTACTGGTTCATAGACCAGCAGTTAATAACCATTGCAGTAGACCAGTGGGTTATAACCTTTTATTATGCTGACAAACCGGCACTGGTGCATACACCTCTGTTCTAAGAGAAAACTTTGGGAACTATTCAACTAGTTAATGGTGAGTGATAACAGTTAATATTTATGAATCAATAATAATGAACCAGACACTAGTCTAACCATTTGCTTATATTCATCTATTTAACCCTCACAGATGTCCTATAGGAGGGTTACTATGATCAATTCTCCCATTTGACAGATGAGAAAACTGAGGCATACAGAAGAGAGACAAGTTTCCCAAGGTACTGAAGTGATAGTACAGTGGATAGGGAGTTTGCCTTGCACGTGGCTGGACCAAATTCTATCCATGGCATCTCATATAGTCCCCTAAGCACTGCCAGTAGTAATTCCTGAGTGTAGATCCAGGAGTAACCCCAAAGCAACACCAGATGTAACCCCAGAAAACTCAAAAAAGAAAAATAATAATAAACAAATTGCCCGAGATAACACAGCCAGTAAATCCTGGAGACTTTGAGATCCTCAAACACAGGGATCAGCTGTCAATTCATCTTGGTATAGCCTACCCTGAGCACTGCACCTGGCACAAAACATGCACCCAGGCAACCCCAGTGGAACCTAATTGGAGCTTTGATCCCAATTTCAAAGTGACTATGGTGCATTTAATAGCACATTTAAGACATTTAAGTGGTATTTACCTGATGAGAGAGGTAAGTATCTCATCGATGAGGGTTTCTCTGTTCCACACAACATGATGCCCTACAGCAGTGTTTCTCAGCCCCTTCCAATCTGGCTTCCTTCCTGTGACCCCTGTGCTCCTAATTGTCCCCATAGACTCATGCTGTGCCCCACTCCCTCAGCCCCCGTGTAAAGGATTTTCATTTGGAATATCCTGGGGTTTACAGGAAGCTATATGAACACAGACTGAGAAATATTACACTAAATAATGTTCCTACTACCAGAGCACTTTGAATAGTATATACATTTTAATATTTTATTTAACAGACCCTAATGTAGAGATGATAGGAAAATATCAGATAGTGTAGCTCCAATTAGCCACAAGAAATAAGATTTCTTTTTAAGGTGCATTAAATTATGCTTTTTACAGCATAAAACATACCGAAAGTGTGACCAGAGAGATTTTACAGGGTGTTGGCTTTGCACGCAGCCAGTCCCAGTTATATTCCCTCCACTGAATATGGTCCCCTGAGTACCACGAGGAGTAATCTAGACACGTTGAGCAAGAGAGAGAATACTATATCCAGAAAGAACTACTCTATTGCCTTTATGGATAGAGCAGATGGATTTTTAAATGTGACATACTAACAGCGATTGAGAATAGTCAATAACTGATTTAAAAATATTATAGACCTAAAAAAATCAAGGTCAAAATAAGTAGGAAAGAACTAGCGAATTTTTTGTGTGGCTTTGAGGGAAACTGGCACACTCTAGGGCACGGGAGGGGGTCAACACACTTTCAGCTTTAAGGGGAAAGAAGCCCAAGAAGCCTGAGAACAGACTATTTCGGGGAGTCCTGCAATATAAAGAGGAACTTTTATGTTTAACACTTTGGGAGCTTCAAATGCAGTGCTTAGATGCTATTACTTCTCATCACTTTAATGTAAAACATTCCCTCCTGAATAATATAACAAAAGTTGACATTTAATGAGGGCTTAGAATGATACTTTAAGCATCTTGAACATGTTGCCTTAGTGAGTCGTATTGTTATCCCCATTTTCCAAATGTGGAAACAGAGGCAGGGATGTCAAGTAGCTAGTGGCTAGTGTAGTTTTCCCATGGTCCCACACCACTCCCAGCTGCTTGAAATGCTACCACCACCTCTGCACTCTGGGTAAAAGCAAAGGCTTACAGTTAAAGGCTCGAGGATGCTCACAAGTCCGTGAAGCACAATAAAATCCCATTACCAATGTCTGGGCATGTCAGAGAGTTACAGAGTGGACACCAGGGAAACCAAATGTGGCACTGAGGAGTGGAAATCCTGTCCAATGGTTCTTCCTGGGTGGTTTATCCTAAGACAGGTTTTCAGAGGTGGTGATACAACTTGCCACTTAAGAACCCCATCCATTTAAGACTATGCATTAGTCATGACAGGTAAAGATCTGTCTCTCCACCCACTGCCACCACCCGGTGTGTGCTAGGATTTGTAAGCCCACAATCTGGCAATCCACATGCCCCTCCAAATACAGCCACCAATTTATAGATATATTGATAATGAGATGGTGCATCAGACCCACGAACTCAGGAACTGCCACATGCCTTCAGAAAAGAGCCCAAGGGGAAAAGTTTTTAAATTTGAAGAAAGCACAGATAGGAAAGGAAGATGGAATTTTGCAATTAACTGCTGTGGTCGAAGTTCTAGGGTAGGAGCTATTGGAGAGGCAAGTACAGATGCCTTAAGAAAATAAACTGAATATTGAGAAAAACAAAGATTGGAAGTTACTTTCATTATTGTATTTTGTCCTAAAACGGCCACATTCCCTCTCCTCTCCTCTCCTCTCCTCTCCTCTCCTCTCCTCTCCTCTCCTCTCCTCTCCTCCCCTCCCCTCCCCTCCCCTCCCCTCTCCTCTCCTCTCCTCTCCTCTCCTCTCCTCTCCTCTCTCCCCCACCTCCATATAAGTCAGTTGCAACAAACAAAGACATTGTTTGCTGTGGGACAAGAAGAGAAATAATAGTATATGGACTTCACAAAATAAATACCCCAGCTTTGGGAAGAACATTTGACAGCAAAAGAATAATATTTCAAGAGATATATTTTAAGCAGATGAGTCAACAAACAAAAAAATAAAATGAATTTTTAATTATCTACCAATGAGCCTATGAAAAACACTTCAAAAACCATAATACTACATTTTTGTAGATTATTTCATCATCACTCATAAACATGTATTGTCTTACCATTAGGCACAATTTACACACACAAAAATAACTTCGCATCTTCACTTGTACCTTATCACTGAACTCACAAAGGGAAACTCTTTCCCCTGAAGTTAATCATCAGTTACAGGTGAGCAACTGCAAAAAAATAAGTTGGATTTCTGCAAACCAGACTAGAAGTCTCAGAGCTTGAGGTCAAAACACAACTATGCCGACTCACCTGGATGGCTCTGACATTGGAAACTGGCTGTTTCGACATATTCACCCGGGTTTAGCCCTGAAAACACAAGTAAGAAACTGTTAGGGGTGGCAGCATCCAGATTCTCAGGCTCGATAAATTAGAACGTAACTCATGATTCAACTGGGCAGTCACCCCTTCCAGTGGCCATATATTCTTTCAGTCTCAGTTTCCGAAGTTACTTAGAGACGCGCCCTTCTAATGCCTCGGGGAGAGGGATCACTGAGCACGGGGATAAATGATTCAGGAGGAGAAACGCTGAGAAGCCTCGCCCCTGATCCTAATGATAGGCAATCAGAAACTTGAAAGGCGCCCTCATCTCCTTGCCTGCCCTCCTGCGCCCGACTCCCTGCACGCCCCGCGGGGAACAGCAAAGCAAAGAGACGGTGCGAATAAAACGCCTTTGTTCTAGGGGCCCTCGGAAGCTCTCTGCTTGAAACTGAACTTTTGATCCGAATTGGTTATTGCTCGGACGGCACACCGGTCCCGGGGAGTGGGGGGTGGTGGCGGGGAGTGGGGGTGGGGGGTGGCTCTACTGAGTCCTCTCCGTTGACCACCCAAGAAAACGGGGCCTGTACAAGCTTCTGGGTACAGGCTCACTCCTCGCTGGGCATGTGTCCGTTCTGCCCTGCGACCAGAGGGGGACGCTGTCGAGATTTGGGTCGCATCTCCCTGCTCCGTGGCCTCACGCAGAGCCCAGGCTTGGCAAATCCCCCCACCCCCCAAACCGCAAGCCTCACTTGATTTTTCATGCAACCGACTCGGGAGGCAAATGGAACTCACATGACCATATCAAATCCCCCCGCCCCCCCCAAAGAGGTAGCCGCCCTTGTTCCCCCAAGGCCTTTCGCTGGTGAGAGCTGACTACCCGCACCGTGCCCACTGGGCCCGGTTTCCTGGGACTAAAGGAGAAGGCCCCAGCTCGGCTCAGGCCTGGCATCCCGTGAGTAAATCCTGCGGGACCCACTGAGAAGTTCTGTTTTGGAAATCGGTGAAGTAGGGCCGGGGAGATGGAGCAAAGGGCCGGAGTCTGTCCTTTGCATGGCACGGTCCTGGTGGCACTGCTGGAGACCCCACCACCACCACCACCGGGTCCTTCTCCAGCCTCACGCTGGGCTAGGGAGCATCGGGCTAGAAGGACCCTTGAGAAACACCCCCCAAGGCAGACATTATCAGTGTGTTAAAACCCCGATGATTTCCCCACCGGGTCTGAGCACTGAACCGTACCAACCCACAGAGCTGGGCTGAGCATCACTAGTTTTTCAGTTTCGGAGACTTACTTCAGCTCTGTTGATAGCAGCACTGCAACTATCAGTGACTTCAACGCTATTGTAAACGATGATGCCTCAATAAATTAATTCATTAAAAATTTAAAAACGGAGTCAGACTAACATGTGAAATTGAACTATTACGTAGTTTTTGAAATCTCTAGAAGTAGGATATCCAAACACATAATCTTTGGCTTCATATACATGAAAATAAGAGGATAATCTAAAGTTTCAGTGAAATGTTTTCAGTAATATATGGATATAACCTCCATGCAAAAGGGCTAGGCAGAATTATTTTCTATATGGTTAGAAAACTTCAAAACAACAATTGAACCATCAGGAGTGCATTTTGGTCTCTGATATGTTTCAAATGGGATGCTCTCTTTCCTGCAGCCTCCAAATCAATTAGGGATTTTTTTCTTTTGCAGAGCTAGAACACACAAGCTAAATTTCAAAAGAAAAACCTTGTCGTTGGTTTTTTTTAACACTCCTATTCCTCAAAAGCCATTAGAAGTCCTGTAAAGAAACAATTCCCGAAGGACTTTAAATACCACAGCATAACGTATTGTCTCTGTGTACACAGCTGGAGTTTACTATCACTTGGGATTTTATTTTAAATCATGTGAACCATGGGGATTAGGAAATTTGTTTTTTTTTTAATTCATTGTAGGATATCTCTTATGTTAATAGAAGAGCAGGCTGACATTTTTTTAAAGCAGGTCACTTATGACCATTGGTCTTCTTTTTTAATTAGGCTGCTATTGGATTTCTGACCTACTGGATTTCTGTCGCATGTCTATACATCTATGACTACGGGATGACCTTACCTTGGTGTGTCCTCTAGAGTTTGGGCAACCGAGCATTTGCATGGAAATTCCTTGTTAATATATATGTCAGTCTGTGATAGACAAAGCTCTAGAAAGTTGGTCAGATCCCAGTTCTCATTCCCTGCAACAGGCTAGATAACAATTGTATAAATCAGTTCTGTAGCCATTTCTGCTGTCCTCATTATTCGCAGAGAAATCAGGGCAAAGCACACTGATGAATAAAAATAGACAGTGTTCCCTGGCTGTTTCCCTGGTCCTGCATTCGCCTCCCTTACGGATGGAGAATGTACAGGGCCCCTTCCTTCTTTAGCTTGAGCATTAGTATGTTTCATCCTGGGACCAAAAAAAAAAAAAGATAGCTATGCCTAGGGGCACAACTCTGTTCCACTGGGACCACGGTTTTGCAGGCAAAGAGGTAATCTTTAAAATGCTCTGTTACTAGGTCTCCCAGTTCTGGGTAAAATTTGGAGGCATGGAAAGTTTAACCCAGCAGAGATTGACTTGTACAAAGCCCGCCCCTCGATGAAAATACTCATCAGTTTAGCACAGCTGAGCTTTCCTGGCAGCTCTGCAAGCAGGAGCAACTTTGCTCTGCCTTCTGATGAGTCCGGTCCTTTGGTATCTGTTGCACCTAACATCTGACTTCTAAATAAGACTCACTTACTAAAAAGCTGTCAACATAAATATCATTCATTTCTTAAAAAGGGACTCGAAAGGAAAAACCAATATTTGGGAAAAGGGATTTTTTGTTTGTTCTTTATAAAGGTCAATTAAACGGCTAAAGGGAATTCTCTTCTGTCCAGTAGCTAAAAATAATTCCTGGGCAGGGTGTAGAAAGATGTTCAGCTGTCTAAACTGACAAACTCCTTATTTGCTCTGCCTTAAATGCACCAAGGAGAAGGGACTCATGGCATTGCTATGTCTCTTAGCTTTGCCATGCATCAGGATTTGATGCCCCCACAGAGGGAGAGGGGGAGTGAGCACAGCCCTCTACCCGGCTGTACATGGGGGAGGTAGTGATCGAAGCAGGACTTTCGAAAAGATAATAGGAATCGATCTAGGCATTGATAGAACTTTATTGAGGCCAAGCCTGTTGTTTACGGAGAGGGAAAAAAAAGCGCTTGAAACTTGTACTGTGCAAGAAATTGGGCAATAATGTGCATGTAGGTAACCAAGGAATCAGCAGGCTAGCTTTTGCCATCCTCAATTCTCCAGATTATTTCTAGGCTTTCAGCCCAAATCTGTCTGCAGCTGACAACTGTTAACTATGGTCAGAAGAATTAATATGACATAATGTTCAGGGTCACAGTCATCATATCTGGACCGTGGAAATTTTCTTAACAGCGCTCTCTATGAAAGCAACGTTTAGTTCAATATTCTTTCAACCCCTCCCCCTCAACTCCAGCCTCCCCCCCACCACTTTGTACACACAATTTATAAAACAGAAGCAGCAACAGCACCCATAAACAGGATTCTACAAGGAAGCTATCCTCACAGGTTATAAGTCTACAAAGTTCTAAGTAGTCACTTTCCAGCTAGTTATCAAGGAAATTTCCTTTAGAAAATTTAGTTGCCCAAACTGTTTCCTCTGCTTACCTGCTTGGTGGATCTGTTTACTGCTTCCGGAGAGTCCCGGGCGGTCAGGTGCAGGAATATAGGCTCCTCAGAAGGTAGAAAGGACAGCCAGTGTCCTCTGAGCTGTGATCTCAATCCTGATGCTTTTCAAGCGGCTGAAATAGCTCAAGTGCTCGGTGCCTCTCCCGGTATTGAGAGCTGCTCCCAGCGCAGGGCCGGAGGGGAACACGTTGGAGGCTAAGTGTTAAAGAGAATTCCTGTCATAGCTCACAGTTGTTCTTCCTAAATATAGAGTTTGATACAAGCCATACACTGCCTGTCTCTGAAAGGCTTGACCGTGCTGAAAGAAGAGCTCAAATGTCAGCCAGAAGGCAGCTACGCAATCTTACTGCCCTCCTAATCTTCCAGAAGATGCAGCCTGCATTTGCTCACCTATTCTGAGGGGACACGGTGAAGCTCAGAAAGTAGGAAAAGATTCTATCTTGAGCTGTAGTACCTGGAGGCTAGAAGTTGAGGAGTGTTCGGTAAGAATCGGAGAGAGGTACATGGTATCACCCTGCTCAGCTAGAACAGGGGTGCCTTCAAACAGTGCTTGCGACCTCGCTTGGTCACGTAGGAGCCGTGACAGTTGTGTCAGTCAGCACTCGATGAATGGTCACCATGCAAGGATAATTATAATAATACATTGAGCTATAAGACATTCCCCCTTTTATAGGTCAAAAATGGTCCCAGGGATGCTCAAAGGGCCAGTGCGCATGCTCTGTAGGTAGGACGCCCGGGTTCCAGCCCCAGCACCACTGGGAGTGACCCTAAACCCAGAATCCTCGCTCACTCAGATGCTTGGCTGCCTCTGCTGCTGACAGTGACTGGCCTCCAGAGCACAGAAAACAGAGCCGAAGGAAAGAAAGAAAACTCTACGTTTTAAGAGGCAGAACCAAGAAAGAGGCAGGAACACTTTTTTTTTGGCTTTTTGGGTCACATCTGGCGATGCTCAGGGGTTATTTCTGGGTTTTCACTCAGGAATTACTACTGGCGGTGCTTGGGGTACCATATGGGATGCTGGGAATCAAACCCAGGTTGGCCGTGTGGAAGACAAATGCCCTACACGCTGTGCTATTGCTCGAGCCCCAAGGCAGGAACACTTTTGAAACAGAACACTGACAGCTCTCGAGCACATGCTCATTATTTAGAACATACGTTTTCTTCTTCTTCAAACTCTGAAATTAACTTTGCATAGAATTCCCCTCCCATAGAGGTATTAAACAGGGTGCATATACTTAGAATTCATCTCCAGGGCAGAAGTGACCCCATGTGTCCCTGACAGCGTGGCCAGCTGCTGGCCCAGAAAGCAGGTCCTACCTGTGAGGAAAAAAAAAACACACAATTTGTTATTTTGATGGTTGTATTTTTGTTTGTCTGGGGGCCACAACCAGCAATGCTCAAGGGTAACTTCTTGCTCTGGACTCAAGAATTACTCCTGGTGGTGCTCAGGAGTAATACGAGATACCAGGAATGGAACTTGGGTTAACCACGTGCAAGGCAGGCGATCTACTTCTAGTCTATCTCTCCAGCCCACAACTGCGATTTGTATGAAGTAAGATCTCTGACCCTGCAACTGAACATATTCCAAAGAAATGTGAGCGGCTCATTTTCAGGTCAGTCCAGTGAAAGCCAGCTTCCTGGAAGACTGGTCATCAGTCTGGTAACTGTGGCTCATGTTAGTCTGGGGGCTCTCCTTTAAGTCTCATTCCTGTGTTATTGTGGTAGGGGGAAGTGTCTTTGACATTCAGTTTAGACACCATGCTTTGAGGTGATGTGGCACTAACGTGAGATATCCATAGATTGGGGAAGAGTGGGTTCTGAGCACTCTAGTAGCTCCCCAGATGCATTACGATTTCAACATGTTCTTAGCTCTTCATCAGTGGTGAACTCAGCCATGGGCAAACAACAGCATTCGCTCAGTTATTTGTGATCCTTTCCTGCATTTGGCCCATTTTATCACAGTCCTTTTAGCCCCAGTGACTACTAAGTAGACAGGGCTGTTATGTATAGCCAGGGAAGTTCTACAGTCAGCAGTGTCTAGACACACACTGGGCAAATACGGGTGGGGCAGCCGCTGTAGGGGAACTGAGTGAGCCTCATAACTGGGACTCCTTGGAGCCAAAGTGATAATAAGGTTGGTAGGGTGCTTGCCTTGCACACAGCCAATCCTGGTTCAATCCCTCACATCATATGTTTCAACGGGCCTGCTAGGAGTAATCCCTGAGTGTAGAGCCAGGTGTAAGCCCTGAGTATCACCAGGTGTGGCCTAAAAACCAAAAGAATAATAATCACAATCACGATCACGATCATCCTGTTGTTCGTCGATTGCCTCGAGCAGGCCCCAGTAACGTCTCCTTCCTCCTAGCCCTGAGATTTTTAAAAACATGCCATATTGGAGGCTCTTTCAGAGTTAGGAGAATGAGACCCATCATTGTTACTGGTATTTGGCATATTGGTTACGCCACGGGGAGTTTGCCAGACTCAGCCATGTGGGCAGGTTACATTCGGTAGCCTGCCAGGTTGTCCAAACTAAGAACGAGATAATAAGATGTTGCACGCCTGCAAATGTGGCCGCGCGCTTCTGGGAGCTGGGTTTTATAGTCTCTGGATCTTGGCCGTTGATGGGATTACACGGTGCCAGGGGGCCCGTTGGTGGTTGTGACCCCTGCCTACTGGAGGATGGAAGATCTGGGTGGAGGATGCTCAGCCCCGATCTAAACAGGCTTGGAGATCTCAGCCCTGGGACTTGCATGCTTCGTTTCTCTGCCGGTACCTTCATGCGTGTGGAGAGTGGTCTCAGCATGGTTGTGGCTGGTTCTGGAGGTCTTTGGCTGCCGGAGCTCTGCTTGGGGTGGGGAGGGAAACTCAACCCACACCCCTCCAAGGGGCCCCAGCGAGGACAGCCAGGCGCGGAGGCAGGATACTAATAGTAATAGTAATAATAATAAGGACTCCTTTGGCTCAAATTGACAAAAACCCAAAGTGAACTAGTTTAAGCCAAGTGCAAGTACGGCAGATGTGTCAAAGCCTTTCCAATATTGTCTCTGCCCGTCTGAGTTCTCTGGTAGCTAAAAACTTCTCCCCAAACCTGAATCTCCCTGTCTCCCCCACCGGAGGAGGGGGACACTCTCTGCCTCTCACCAGGTTGCCTGAGGTGTTGTACTCAAGAGCCTTAAGTTCCAGTGCGCAGACACAGCTAAGTAGCAATCCCAGCCACAGGGGATGGAAGTCGGGTGATAAAGGTCTCATTTCCTCATCCTCTGGCAGGCTGGTTCTGAGGCTCCTCTACAGTTTTTTCCAGGTCTCTGGTAGGATTGAACGCCAGCAACCTACAGCAGGAAGCTGCTCAATAATATATCCTTAGTACTCCATTGTGTAGATATACCAAAGTTTCTTTAACCAGTCATCTGTTCTCGGCACTCAGGTTTTTTCCAGATTCTGGCTATCGTAAACAGTGCTGCAATGAACAAATAAGTGCAGATGTCACTTCGACTACACTTTTTTGCCTCTCCAGGATATATTCCCAGGAGTGATATTGCTGGGTCTACAACTATACCTCATGGTGTTTCACTAATAAAAATTTAAAAATAAAAACTAAAATAAAAACTAAAATAAAATATTATGGAATAGCACAGCGGTAGGACGTTTGCCTTGCGTGCAGCCGGCCCGGCCGAGCCAGGTTTGATTCCTCCACCCCCCTCGGAGACCCCGGCAAGCTACCAAGAGTATCTTGCCCGCAACGCAAAGCCTGGAAAGCTTCTCGCGATGTATTCAATATGCCAAACACAATAACAACAAGTCTCATGATGGAGACGTTACTGGGCCCACTGGAGCAAATCGATGCACAGTGGGAGGACAGTGCAGTGCAGTGCAGTAATTTAAATATATATAAAACATGTATGTGTTAATATATAATTAATACATATAATATATGTATTACATATAATATATAATATAATATAATAGATATAATTATAATATAATATATTATAATGTATAATATAATATAAGTAAAGTAAAGTAAAGGCCCTCCCGTTGATCATCGATTTGCTCGAGCGGGTCCAGTAACGTCTCCATTGGAGACTTTGTTGTTACTGTGTCTGGCATATCGAATACTCTCGGTAGCTTGCCGGGCTCTCTGAGAGGGGCGGAGGAATCAAACTTGGGTTGGCCATGTTGGCTGCGTGCAAGGCAGACGCCCTACCCGCTGTGCTATCGCTCCAGCTCCAGGGCTGGAGCGATAGCACAGCAGTAGGGCATTTGCCTTGCACGCAGCCAACATAATATAATATAATGCATATAATATAATATATGTACACATATAATAAAAATAAATGTGTACATTATATGTCTATATATTATAATGTATGCAAATATTACATTTCATAATAAATACATTTATCATAAAAAATAATATATTCTTATCAGCTTTTCCCCTTCCCTTTCTCACTCCTCCACTACTTCTCTCTCCTTCTCTGGGATCATCACCTGTGGGGAAGATGACATGAAGAATACTGACTCCTTCCCCCAGCCTTTTGGATAGGAGCCAAGGCCAACTGTGGGTTCAGGCAATTCCCAGGGTGAGAACAGAAATACACTCAGAAGTGTTATCACAAACCCTCACGCAGGTTTACCCCTCCTACTCTTCCTCGGGATGGCCAGGCACACAAGCTACCTTTTGCTCTTTGCTCTCCATGCTATAAAAGCCCTTCTGACAAAGTCAAGATTTGGTAAGGCGCCCCCTTCTACCTCTACTAACCAGCTGCCACTGGACCTAAAACGTTCTCTAAGTCAAGCAACATGAAATTCCTGACTCTAACCAACAGACCTCTGAATTCCTTTCTCCGGGACTGGTCATCATCATGCACAAGTGCTGAAAGATCTAGGCTTGCATAGCCTGTAATCAAATTGGCCGTGTGGTCTCAAGTGTCTGGTATTGGGGCAACCCAAACTGAGACAATGGGATTCATTGGGTAAGTTTCATATTGTGGCCGGTAAGGCATGGGTGTAGTTGGACTTCAGAAATAACAGGAGTCAAGGTGTCAGACCTCATAAGAGAGTGCCAATAATTTATCCAACTCATTTTCTTTTACTCTTCTGTAAAATTTATTTTTACAGAATCACCTTGAGGTACAGTTACAAAGCTTTTATGATTGAGTTTCAGTCATACAATGTTCCAATACCCATCCCTCCACCAGTGTACATTTTTCACCACCAATGTCCCCAGTATCCCTCCCGTCACC